ATTTCTCCATGCACGGAGTTTTTAGGAGAAATTGGATAAAGTAATAAAATATGGAAGTAGTGGGGTTGGTGGAAGAATAAAAAATTGTAAAAAAAACCAAAAATAATGGATAGAATTGAAGGAGAGAGAATATGAAATTAATATTGTTGGGTCCACTTGGTGAGAGAAATTAATTAAATTATGTAAAAACTTTCTAAATAAGAAAATAGAGCAAGTATTTATAAACGGTCGGAAAAGGAAAGTGAAACAAGTATTTAAAAGCGAATGGAGTAAAAATCATTATACACTCACTTTTATTTTTATTATTTTTATTTTTTAAAATTTTATTCATTGTATTTCCTAATTTATTCTTGAATGTTGTACAATTTTCAGCTGTCTCTCTCTAACTTTTTCAATAAGGGCCTATTCTCATTGACTGAACTGAGTTGAACTGAACTGAATTGAAATGAGTATTTTATAAGAGAAGAAAATTAGGAGCTGAATTGAACTGAACTTATTGGAGCTGAAGTGAAAGTAATCATATCAAAACAGACCCTAATTGTATTTTTCTCTTTTATTAAAATATGTTAGCCACTTTCAGTGGCGGTGTAATACCCCGTATTTTTATACGTATTTTACTTAAAATATGTATTTTATAAGGGTATTTAAATAATTTTAGTATTTTAATTATGATATTTTAATTATTTATCCCATGTAAGTTGGGAATATTTTATTAAAGGATAGTTTGTTTAATTAATTATTAAATAGAAGTTGGGGTTTTATTTTAAGAAATTATGATTTTTAACAAGTTTTAGTAGGGAAGGGATTAGGAAAAACTAAAGGAGGAAAGTTTAGGGTAAAAGGGGTGATAGAGAAGGGGTATAAATATCCCTCTTATGAGGCAATTCAACTTTGCCCAGAGTGGAGAAAACTCAAGGTAAACTTCTCTCCCTTTTCTCTTTATTTTCTTATTTCTTTTCTTTTTCTCTCTTCTTCCCTTCCCCTTCTTGTTGCGCACCACCACCACCGGCGACCACCACCACTGGTGGGCCGCCGACCACCTGCACCAACCGGCAGCAGCGGCGACCACCGACGTTGGCAGCAGCCGGCAGTGGCGCCGGCCTGCTGTCGGCAGTCACATCCTTCGAAAAAAAAAACAAAAGTTTTAAAAATCAAATCTTTCTTACCCAAATATAATCTAGGCTTTAATCTAATTGTAAATTATGATTTTGGAGATTTAATTTTGATGTTTAGTTATTGTAATTATGTTAATTAATTTTCAGATTTGGTTTTTAATTAAAAAACCCCAATTTTTGAAACCCTAGGTTCTTGATTCATGAGTTATTGAAGGATTATGATGTATAATGGGGTAGACCTTTGTTTTAAGTGTTTTAAAGCTTAATTACAACAAGTTTTAATTATAATAAAGTGCTGGAATTTTATGTAGAACACCTAATATTATGTTTCTTGAAGAAATTTTAATTACCCATTAATTGGGACTACTAGAGACATTACGGTTGGGAAAATGAAATACTAGAATTGAACGCCCTCCATCGGACTTGAACGAGCCGGCAGCCCCTGAGGAACCACTCTTGGAACCTCAGGAAGCTTTATGGTGTTTTAAATATAAATTCAGCTTACTTTAATTGAATTATGAGGGGTTTTAAAATAGTATATATTGTTGGAAATTTGTTTAGAGTGGATATTAATACTCTATTATGAATTTAATGTGTAGGAGACTTTGAAGTAAGCAATTTCTACTAGTCGTGGCAATTTTAAAATAGTACTCAAGGTACGTACGCGTACTTAGCATATTTTTGGTGATGTAGTATCATGCTAGACTTGACTTAATTAATCCTAAATAGTATCATGCTAAGATTTATTATTGGAATTGTGGATTTTTGATATTGGTGATTAAATTAGAAAGTATGATTTATTTGAGATGGATTAATAGTTGGAAAATTAATGTTTGGCATGTTGTGTTTGAATCACACTTTTATTTATGGCATGTTAAAATGCATGATTAATTAAACTACATGTTTAATTAATAATTATGTTAGAAATATTGAAAAGGAATTTTATTATGGTTCAAATAATTTTTATTGATGCTTTAAGCATGAGGAAGGAGCTATATAAGTGTCTGTGTACACAAGGAATAAATTGTATGTTGGTGCCTTTGTGCACTTAGAGTGTTTTTAACACCGAGGGATAGGATTTTTGGCGCTTTATGCGTTTAAGGTGTCTTTGACACTGAGATAGAATTAAAAAGGGTTCAACATTAAATAATATGTGGTCACTAATTATTCAAGAATTAATTTGGCATGTTTGATTGATTGAATAATTATTGTTGATTGATTTATTATGCTTTGAGAGTCATCACCAAGTCCAATAACATGTAAATAACGTAAAGTGAAAGAGATTACGCACCAAAACTCTTGGAACGTATATACCTTGAGTATGAACAATGGGGGGAGTTATGGGGTTTTATATTTAACCATAACTTCTAATGGAGTACAGGACGTTGTACATTCCTTTTTATTTATTATTATGCGCAGGAATTCCTCCACCTTTGAGTGGTTTTGTCGCTGGCACGGTTAGCTCCTGTGTCAGTTAACCTCAATTTATTGGGGGAGGATAGTTGGAAACTCGTTCGATGCGTAATCAACGCTAAATGAATTATTTAGTGTCTAGTCATTGTGTTTTGTTGATTGATGTGTGTGCTTGTAAACAGGTGCAAAGAGGTAAGTGTGTTGATAGGTGAAAGCATGTTAGTGTGTTTAATTTACGCTTATGTACTCAGCTTTGCTGATTGTGTGTGTTTGTGTGTTTGGCCATGTCTTTACCTTGGCCCTATGATGACCATTTTTAATGGAGAGTAGTGGAAACAAGTAGAGATAAACTTTTCAGGTATTGAAGCATAATCATGATGGGGCATGAGAGAAGAGTGAATCTTGCTGGCTTTTATTAGGTTACGATGTGTTTTATGCTTTATTTATTTATGACTAACACAAAGGTTTGGTTTTGGAACGGTTTTGAATAAGGGCCTTTAATGGTTCCAAGTTGTAGTTTGATTTTATTTGACTTTGTTTGTTTGATTTTAAACTTTACTTTCGTTTGGTGGACTTTTGAGTTGACTTGTTTAAACGGTTTTTAATTTTAAATCTTCCGCTGTGTATCTTTGATATTTGCCTTAACCGTTTTCACGGTGGTGGTAATGTCTTAGATATTCCTAAATCGTATTTTAAAGTGTAGAATGAGTGTTTAAAGGAAAGGAATTTCTAGGGTGTTACAGGTGGATCCAGGAATCCGAACTAGGGGTAGCACTAGACAATAATAATTATAATAAAAAAGTATAACACTGTTGTAACGTATCATAATATATAATCAGCCAAATATGGATATAATGCGTTGTGTAGTCGTATAATAATTAACAATCAAATTTAGACATTTATATTGACAAGTTCAATTATATTGTGGATATCGATTATAATATTATAAACTTTCTACCTGTTTATTTTTTATTTTGTAAAAGTTACATATGAATTTATACCGAAAACTTTGGTATAAATTTTTCCTTGTGCACATATGCTAACGTAAAACTTTGACTGAAAATATATTTAATAATTAATCTTATAATAATTGAATATTAAAGTAATAAATTTGACGATTCCAACAAGTACCCACATGAATATATTTATTGTTATGTATAAATCACAAATATTAGCTAAAGTGAATTAGATAAATTGTACAAAAAGTCAAAACGTTTCATTTATTTAAACGTAGTTGGAGTATGATTTTTTATAATTATTTCAGTGTAAATTTTCATACGATTATAAATAAGATTTAATAATGGCCAAATAAATGCAATAAATATTATATAATGAAAATGAGAAGAATGTCATAAATATAGCAGAGAGAGTATTTCATATTAACAAGGACTGTTTATAAAAAGTGTGAAAATGAAAAAAAAAATTTATCATGAAAAGATAGTAATAGGTTATCCTTGTGTTAATTAAATACGTAGTAGGAGGAAAATGAAAATTCAATTGGGTTCAAAGCAAAAAAAAAAAAATTTGATGCTATGGGGTCTCGAATCCTGACCTTCTTAAACAAAGATTGTTCACCCATCTAATTCCCTAACCACTGAAGCAATGCTGGGGTCATTTAACATTGATACAAATTATAATATATATACAGATATAAGGGACGCTTTTCCATTTTTTTTTTGTGGGGGTAGCACATGCCCCCCTCCCCCGAGCGTCAACGTGGATCCGCCACTGGCCACTTTCTGTTAGTATATAAGCAAATTAAACGGAAAAACTTATCTCAATGTTGTGTAGACCAATTGACAATTGCCGCGTCATGGTAAACCACTGACCTAAAAGACGATTCCGCGCTACCCCGGTGCAGTAGACATTAAGCGGTTGTCTTCCAGGATAAGCACGACGTCAAAATTTGTGTGCACTCACAAACCCGAGTGGAACCAGAATACTTGCCCAAAAACCGAAGGGATAAATTTAAAGAGGGTAAAAGATAGTTGATTTTTGTGTGTCTTATGGAAGCAAGGAAACATGAATATATATATGTGTTTTAAAAGGTTGGAGCATAGCTTATAAAGCATCGGAATAAAGGGTAAAACCATCAGCCATTAAAGGCATAAATGCCATACTTAATCAACATTAACTAGCCATTAAAAGAGCTAATAAATGGGTAATTCAAGGGAGCATAATTACCGGCTATTAAAAGCAATTTCAACAGTCACACACAATTAATTATGTGACTTTCTTTGTTTAACATCAAGAACTTCCAACACTTTCTCCTTCTATTTCTTAAATACCGTGAAAAAAACAAGTAAAAACTGTATTGGTGCGACGGAGGGAGTAGTAAATAAATGACAAAAATTTGCAAACCCACGAGTCCACGACAATAGTACTACTACCTCCGTTGCATATTATTTGCAACGATTTGACATAAAATAGTGAGGAAAAATGTCTAATCGTTGCAAATAATATGTAACGGAGGTAGTAAGTATTACGGAGTAGTTTTATCTAAAAGCGTAGAGGAAGAAACGAAGAATGCAGTGATCTAAAAATTTGATAAAAATGCTCCAAACCGAAATTGCTTGATTAGCTGTGCACTTTTCTCTCTTCATTTTCCTGCTCTTCACTCTTTCTCTCTCTTCATTTCCCATCTGACTCCTTCAATTTCCCCAATATCTTTTATTGGGGAGAATTTTAAATCCCTAATTTCACAAATTTTACTCTCAATTTTCACATTTTTTTTTAATTTTTTTTTGATGTACTAATTATTTAGTTCGATTAATTCCGGGTTTGAAGATTTGACAATGGCGGGTCAAAATCAAGGAAATATGGATCAATTTGAGGCGTTTTTTAAAAGGGCAGATTTGGATCATGATGGTCGGATTAGTGGTGCTGAAGCTGTCGCTTTTTTTCAAGGATCTGGGTTGAATAAACAAGTTCTTGCTCAGGTTTTGCTCTTTTTGATTTCTTTTTTAAATTTTGATATGTAATATCTAGGGCATTATTTGTGAACTGGGATTTGTTTATTTGTTGATGATGTGAATTATTAATGTGAATGTGGTTTAAATTATTCAAATGGGAGCTTAATTGTTTTTAGAATTTGATTAAAATTGGGTAAGTTGTGAATTTTGGGTGCTTTTTTTTTTTATTATTATTATTATTATTTTTTTTTATAATGCATTCTTTGTGGTTAGTGTGAACAATTTCATGTTATATGTTTGAATATTTAGTTATTTACGAGTATTTATCTTATATCCTTGCTTAATTTGCTAAGATTGTGAGAAAAGTCTAGCAATTTTATGGATTAGTTGGTTGAGTTGGACCGGAACCACAATGTTGAGTAGACTTGTCGTAAGAGGTTTAAAGACTAGCTATACTACGAATCATAGGATGGATGTCCATGATTGAACCCTTTTGTTGAAAATAAAGTTTATAGCTTCCGCGAGGTGAGAGGTCACGATTTGAGTGAAAATTTGTATAGACCAGGCATTTTTCTACGAAGTATATGGTTATAGGTTTTTATGCTAGAATTAATGATGTGAACATCTAGTAATGAAGTTAGTCTTCCTCCTGTATTGATATGGAGGTTAAAAAAGTTACATTGTCAATGATCCAAGTATCCAACAATTGTGTACTGAAATAGTTCTGATTCGTGTTTGTTCGATTGGTTGTAGATATGGATGCATGCTGATCAGAATCGTGCTGGTTTCCTTGGTCGTCAAGAGTTTTATAATGCTCTCAAGTTGGTAACAGTGGCACAGTCTAAGCGAGAACTGACTCCTGAGATTGTGAGGTCAGCATTGCATGGACCAGCTTCAGCCAGGATCCCTCCTCCACAAATAAATCTACCTCCTGCCGCTACACCTCAAGCATCTCCTGTGCCTAATTCACCTGCAATGTCGATGGGTTCTGGGATGCCTACAGCGCCACAAAATCTTGGTTATAGAGGGCCTTTACCACCTAACCAGAACATGCAGCAGCAATATTTCCAAACTCCAGGGAACCAATTGACGAGGCCTGCTCAAGGTCTGCCTTCTAGCTCTGCTTCACATCCTATTCAAAGTGGTCATGGTCTTCAAAATTTAGGTGTCTCATCAACTGGGGTTCCAAACTCTAATTTGTCATTTCCTGGTCGTCCAAGCTTAGGCATGTCGACCCCTGGTTTCCAGAGCTCCGGCATGACGACCCCTAGTTTCCAAAGCTCAGGCATGTCGACCCCTGGTTTTCCAAGCCCAGGAATGTCGGCTCCTGGTGTCCCAAGTTCTGGAATGGCTCCATCTGTTGTTCCAAGCTCAGGAACATCTACTACTGGTCATCCACACTCTAGTGTCTCAGCCAATTGGATGGGTGGAAACATGAGTGGGGCTCCTTATGGACAAATGTCACAAGTTTCAAATATGGGGACCACTACATCTCCGCCACAAAATATGCCAGTGATCCCCCAAGCTGCCAACGATAGCTCTAAAGCAACTGCTGCCTCTGGAGGTGACCCTTTTGCTGCTTTTTCAATGACCAAACCAGGTGCTTCTCCAGCAACATCTTCAGCTATAGTTCCTGTGTCTGCTCCAGCCCCAGCATCCTCCATAACAACTTCGTCGGCAATCGTTCCTGTAGCCTCTTCAACACAGGCTCCGTTAAGATCAAATTCTCTTGATTCATTACAAAGTGCCTTTGTGAATCAGCCTGTGGGTGGTGGTCAGCCACATCAGGCACAAGCTTTCTCGAATCTGTCTCAGTCTTTACCTCAAGTCACTTCCTCTGGTGTTTCACCTGGACCCGTTAAGCCTACTCTAGAACAATCCCAGCCACCATGGCCAAAGATGACTACTCCAGGTATACAAAAATATACCAAAGTATTCACAGAGGTGGACACTGATCGAGATGGAAAAATCACGGGTCAACAGGCACGTAATCTGTTCCTGAGCTGGAGACTACCAAGAGGTAAACTGCTGTTCTTATTCCTGGGATTGAGAATTCCAAATTAAGTGAATAATATTTTTATTTAGAAAAATAAATGAATTTCCCAGTGTAGCAGTTGGTTTCAACATTTCTGTATATGATCTCTCACCATTTCCCCGTGAATGCTATTTTCGCAATGTAAAATTTGAGGCTTTGCTGTTTTATTGTTATCACTTATCAGGGCATGGCCCTTGGATTATTTTCTCCACTTATCAGGTTTATACATTTGCTTCACTATTTCTTGCTGCTAACAGCTGTCAGTTGCAATGTTTGATGAAGAAATTTAGATTTAGGATTTGGAAATAAAAATCTCTAGATTTATTAATTTATAAAGAATTTGATGATATGAATTATAATTTTCAAAATCATGCTCTCACCTTTGTCTTGGATAGTTGGATATATTTATTGTCTTCAGTATGGGGATCAAATTTCAAATGGTTGGAAGAGGATTTGACTTTAGTTTGCTGGATGTGCTTTAAAGAATTACTACTGATCTTAAACAGATTGAAACTTCCAAAATATCCTTGTAAAGATTTGTAGATGATTGACCCCTCTCCATAGTCTCATTCTTTAACCTAGGGCCTAGGCAACCTCAAATGAGAAAATTCCGACACAAGTATAAGGTGCAATATTTCCGAGCATCAGGAGAATTACACAATCACTTCATACTTCTTTGTCCTCTCAATTTGAATACAATGTAGTTCTTTGATTCAATATTTCTGGTAGGTAATGAGTGGGAATTTCGTAAAAGTAATTCTGCTCTGTAGACCAAATTGTAATATGAATACTAATTAAAATTTATCAAGGGTGGGGAGGAGAGGTGGTGATTTAGAAGCCTCACTTAGAGCTAATGGGTAGATAATATAATTTTCTTTAATAAGTTGGTGTGTTATTCATTCAATGGTAGAGAATGAAGCAATTGATATAATCCCAAGTTGCTCCCTTGTTTAAATGGACAAAATAGGTATGATACGTGATTAAGTGCTGCTCTTAGGGCACTATAAACATTAAATGTACTTCCTTAATTAGTTTAAGATTAGAAATTCATGTCAAAATCTTGTTTTGATTAGTGTAATTAATTTTGGATTAGTACTTAATATTTCCACTTTTAGATCATATATCCAAACCATATGTCATTTTCCTTAATAAAATTTACAAGAAAAGCAATGCCAATTGACCTCTACAAGGTGTTGGCATTAAGAAATTAAACCAAACAATTTAGTGAGTTGATGTAAGGGAAGTAGAAAAACCTTGGTTGCTGCCTAGAATCGAACAAGGCCACAAGATACACCCATTTACAGATTTCTCAAACACCCAACAAGCTGGCAAGTCGCATGACCACCACACGATCCTCCCTAATTCTATTCCTATTTTGGAGAAGCAATAATGAGAATTGGGTTGTTGAAGTTTGAAGCTGGTTCCCTTTAGTAGTTTGGCAGAGCTTGCAAATCAACATAAGTATGTTGACTTGGCATTGTTGAGTACTTCGATAGGCTTTTGTAAAGTTTCCATTTTGAGCGTCACTTCTCCATCTACATTTTGTAGATACGATCATAAAATCTACAAGTAGAGGATTTGATTTTTATCTAGCTTTCTTGCCTGAGTGTTACTATGTTTGTTAGAGCTTGATGTTGTTTTCTTAGTCCTCCTTTGGTGTAAGGTTGGTATCTTTTAGTATTAGTCTTAATGCTGATTCTTGTGAAATGGAGATCTATTGATTGAAGCAAGGGAGTTATGTGAATCTAATACTCAGGTTATTAAAGACAGATTATTGGAAGAATTGGGATGTTTGGCAATAAGGATCTTTGTTGGCTTAGATTGTCTGAATTCCAACATGCGTTTCAATATGTTGGATATAAAGATAGTGAGTTAATATATGTTTTGGGTAATGAAGCATATTGATTTCAATGGTATGAAAACAAAGAGGTTACCGAGCTGTCATATACAATAATAAATTCAAACCATATACGTTGAAATAAGAATGAAAATAATGATGCCTTTTCTAAGATGTCCTATATTGTGAATTAGTGATGGTGATGATTATTGAGGCTAGAGCAGTTATTGTTTAATGCTATCTTTCAATGATAGGATGACTTTTTGATGTGAACTTTCAGCGTTATGATAACCAAACATAATTTTAAGGGAGTGTTGTTATAGTGTTGCAGTTTATTTGGGGGTAACTACAAAAATTTATCAATCCTGAGAGGAACTTATTTATTTTATAATTTTTTTTTGAAAAAATATTTTTTTTTCTCTTTTTTCATAAATGCTTAACTTGCCTTTCTGCATGTATACATACCACCTATATTACCAGAAATCGCTTTAGGGTCTGATACCACTCTCCTCTAAAAAGGATTGTGGGCAAGGGATCATCATATTATTATTAAATGCAAAGCATGATAGTATCTTAAAACAATGGACTATGATGGAAGCATGGACAACCCCTGAGATAACTGACAAAGTTGCTGGATGCACTCGTCAGCGCTGCACAAAGGACAGATAGGATTCCTCATTCTATAGAAGGTAGGAACTGGCAAGTTTGCTCCTTAGAGAAACTCAAGGACTGTATGCTATATGCTGGATTGTGTTTATATCATCTGTGCAAAATTTGCCTCTGGAGGAAGTTAGCAAATGCATATTTTATGTTAGGCTTGTATGTTACTCCTGATTGATTGATGTAAAATAAGCATATTACTCCCTCTTACATACTTCATGTATTTTTTTCTGTCTTATGTCTATAGCTGTAGAGACAATCATTCTAGTAATCGGTATATATGCTCTGCTCATCGTATGATCCAATTTTTATTTCTCAGAGGTTTTAAAGCAGGTGTGGGACTTAGCTGACCAGGATAATGACAGCATGCTTTCATTAAGGGAGTTCTGCATAGCCCTGTATTTAATGGAGCGGTATAGAGAAGGGCGTCCCCTTCCAGCTTCACTTCCCAATAGCATTATGTTAGATGAAACTCTTATGCGTATGTCAGGTCTTCCAAATTCATCTCATGGTAATGCAGCATGGGGAGCAGCATCTGGTACTGGTATGGTTAACACTCTAATTCTCCGATGTCATGTCTTTTTTTTTTTTTTCGTTCTTCGTGTTATTTTTGCTTAGTGGTCCCTTTTTAAAATTAGGTTACAGGCCAGTACAGGGAAGCGCTGCTTCCTCACCTGGTGCAGCTGGTTTGAGGCCAGTCATGAATTCAGCTCCTCAGCCTGATATGACCATGCAATTCCAGCAGCCAAAGTCAAGAGCATCTGTATTGGATAATTCCCAAGCAAACCATTTTAGTGACGGTGAGAAGGATTTGCTGCAATCAAGTGCTCTAGAAACAAATGATGCCGAAAATAAGGTATTGGCTTTCAACATGCTAATTACGTTGGTAATACTTGGCATTTCTTGGTTTTATAGCTGAAAATTAAGCCTTTTAGGATTTTGTATTGTTGGAAATTGGAGTCAAGCATTAGGTTTTGAGTGATAATTGACGTTTGTTAACTTTTAGTTACAGTACATTTTGGTGGTCCAAGGACATTTTTCCTTTCCTTTTTTTTCTTTCATGCCCTCCTTTTGTCCACAAGTGATCCTCCCTTCTCGTCTCTCTATTATATCTTTTGATTACTTGATCCTGCAAATTACACTGCACTAAATGCTTTCATGGCTCTTATCTCTTTGTAGATATATGTTCTATGATAGTACTTTTCCATGTTCTCATGAACTTAAGGGCAGCTCCCTTGGTGTTTTTCATTTTATGTAGCTACAAAATTTATTTTTAATTTGTTTATGATTATCCAGCCTTTTCTTCTTATACATCTTCTCTAATGTCATTTAAGAACAGTAAGAATTAGCAGTGGCCTTAATTTTTTTACAACAACTTTTTACAAAGCTGTTTATTTTCTTGAGAAAAAAAAAGCTATTGGTGGAAATATTTTGTTTGTTTGTTTCCTGTGCAATTCATCAGTTTATAAAGGGACACACCTTTTTAAAAACTTGAGCAGCGCACTAGTTCTATGTAATACTCCATAGTATCGAATTCACAATGAGAACTCTGAAAAGTGATCACTCTGTACTAAATCTGTTATCCTCATCAATATGATATAAAACCTAAGTGCTCCCTGATATATGAATACATAGCTTTTATAAGTTGAATGTGCTGTCTGGTGAGGATGCATGAACTATGGGGAGAACATGATGCACATGGTTGAAGCAGTTTCCACTTCATACAGACATTGGAGGTTCTGGTGACATTATAGCAAAAAATAGGATTCTCAGTACTAGATGCTAGTTGATATTTTGTACTTAGATGCTAGTTATTGTAGAGTATGGGATGCTCATCAGAGTCTATCACATTTCCCCCGGTTCAAATGTTTCTGACTTCAAATGCAGTATTTGTATACAAGTTGGGATTAGATCTTTGAAATCAAGTACCTGATTGATTTCAATTTCAAAGCAAGACAGTAATCAATTTGCATTAGGAATCTTACTTGTCTAACTACTGTATTTATTTGTGTTACTTCAATATTGTTCAGTTTATGTTGTATTATGACATTGGTTGCTTACACATACATTGACAGCAGCACTGCTTTTATTATTTGAATATTGAAATTGTTTTTACCTTTTGTTTTCATCTTCATCAGAATCTTTAACTTTTGTTCATGAATTGAAGGTTGAAAAGGTGGAGAAAGTGTATCTAGATTCCAGGGAAAAGCTTGAGTTCTACCGTACAAAAATGCAGGAACTTGTGAGTTTATAAGTTTTAGATTTTTCCTACTTTTTCAGGAATTTTATTGGCACAGTGCACTGAACCTTCAATTCTTTCTATACGGATGTGTGTATGTTTTTTTAAGCAGGACTGTAGTAATAATTTATACCCTGATCTAATGAATTAAAATTTGAGTAGAAGTTTACTCTGATTGGATAATCTTTACCATACAGTGGTATTATTATTTTCTCTCTTTCTTTTGCTATTAGTATGCTGTTAAAGTTTATCAGTTATTCATTTTCGAAATCTGACAAGTAATTAGGTTCATTGATGGCTGCTGGGTAGGTCATAAAATTAGACAGTGACAAACAAAAAACTGTCATACCATTATCCCAATGCTCGTTTTTTATTTTTATTTTTAAAAATGAGTAGCTAGCAGTAAAACTCTGCAAGGAATCTCTTTCTATGCTGTTCTCAGTGTCGGAAAGTCCCACTCATTTATGAAATATTAATGGTTATTACTTGCATTTAAAATCTTGTAGGGACAACTAAAATGGGAAAAAAATGATACTAATATCAGCAGTCAACTTGATTGCTAGTATCATGATTGAGATGCAAGCTTCAATATATTTATATACGAAGTTTTCTTTTTTTTTTTGTTAAAATTTTTATAGGGCACTTACAGAGGGATCAAATCATCCTGATTCCTGAATGTGTGAGATAGTCCAATTTCCTATTGAAACCTCTGCAGAGACTTTGACTTTTCATTTGATTGGATGTTGATCTTAAATTTTAAGGCGCCGTTAGAATACCTGCTGGCTCTGCGTAGTGTTGTTAAACTGGATTGGGAACTTTTATGTCCATAGTGTGCATTTTAGTAGCACTTGTATCTACATGATTAGTTTTATTTATTTTAAATAATGTTATGAATGTCAATTTAATTTATTTTATAGGTTCTATACAAAAGTCGATGTGATAATCGACTGAATGAAATCATTGAGAGAGCATCTGCAGACAAGCGTGAGGTAAATCATATGTCCAGGGAATTTCATACATTGCATTATTGTCCCTCAACCCACATGAATCTAACAAAGTGATTTCTCAGGCGGATTTACTGGGAAAGAAATATGAAGAAAAATATAAGCAAGTAGCAGAAATAGCTTCCAAGCTAACTATCGAAGAGGCTAATTTCCGAGAATATCAGGTAACTCTTTCTTGATTGACATTTTCTTCCTATGAAAATGATTATTCCATGATGTGTGCAAGATTGGTGTCTTTTGTGGTCTATGACTTTCTTTGATATCGTTCTATTGCAATCCTGGACAGCACTAAAATTTAAGTGACAAATTGTTGTGCAGTTGAGGTCTCTTCATGTGTATTCTTCCTATAATCTACGGTATCTATTAATTGAATTTATGTGTTTTCTTCCTTAGAAATTTACTCGCATGTGCAGTTGTGCTTGAGGCAATAGGTGTACTATGATTATTCCATGCAATGGGGTCATTTTCTTACTGATTTTTCTATTATGTCTTTATTCCAGCTACTCCTTTCTTTCTTCCTTTATTCCCTTACTTTAACTTGTAGAGAGTGTTTTTTTTTTCTCATATATCATTGCTCCATCTTTTTCACGAAGTTTGACTATTCCTCTATCTTAATTTCGTTAATGAATCAACTGCTTCTATAATTTGAGTCTACACATGCCTTGACAGCTTTCTGTTAGGAGTATATGATACATTGGTGGTTGCATAAAATTTTAGTCTCTAAGGCTAGGTTGTTTTCTTTTACAAATTTCTGTCTTTATTTTATTCAGGGGCGAAAAGCGGAGTTGCAGCAAGCAATTATTAACATGGAACAAGGTGGAAGTGTGGACGGTATTCTTCAGGTAGAGTGCAACAGATAGTTTATGACGGTTAACGCATGAATCTTGCTTTCAATTCTAGACTTGTATCCATGATTTTCTCTTTTTATAGGTACGTGCTGATAGGATACTGTCAGATTTTGAGGAGCTCCTAAAAGCTTTGTCTGAACGCTGCAAGAAACATGGAATAGAGATAAAGTCCGCAGCATTGATTGAGCTTCCTAAAGGTAGTTTGAGTCTCTTAATCTTGCTTCTGTGTTAACTTCCCCCTTTCTTAATTTCCAGTTACGTCTTATGTATTGAAACTTCATTATATCATATGTTGGGAATTGTTTGCTTGTTTAGTGCTAGCTTATAGTGTGATAAAGTGAAGGTAATTGTGAATTGACCTGAATATTGTAATAATCTTAAGGCTGGCAACCTGGAATTCAAGAAGGAGCTGCTGTCTGGGATGAAGAATGGGACAAGTTTGATGATGAAGGTATGCATTGTAGGAATTTTGTTGCTTACTTTTTGTTGATGAAGTTGTTCATATTTCAAATTATATTATTTCTAGAGCGCTTCAAATTTCTCGTTTACTGCACAAAGAGAGTAAAAAAGAAATTTGGTGTCTAATCACTTTATTTCTTCAGGACTCCAATTTGACAAGGAGGTCAGTACAGACACACAAACTGCTAAGACCTCTCCGAGATCCACATTATTCGAGAATGGAACATACTCTCATGATGATGTATATAGCCCTGATAGTAAAGGTGAACATGCTTTTGATAGTGAATCTGCATACCCCCATAGTGAAGATGATTCAGCAAGAAGCCCACATGGAAGTCCAGTACCTCGAGCATCACAAGATTTTTCAGATATTTTTGCAAAGAGCGAGGCAGATACAGATTTCCAGCAGTATGCTTTGTCCATTCTTTGCTTTTTTGTTCAACAGTTTCATTCAGTTCATTTTTTAAAAAACAATAATTTCTCTTTTGTCCTCCACAGGAGCTTTGATGACCAGGGTTGGGGCAATTTCGATGGTACTGATGATGCAGATTCAGTTTGGGGATTTAATTCCAAGGTAAGCCGGTTGCACCATTGGTTAGTGTTGGATCAAATATTCTTCTTCCCTTGTCTGGAAATGATTGTCACATTGTCCCAGTACCTTGTGATTAAAGATGTGACTTGATTTTAATCATTTTATAACACTAGTAATTAATGTTTATCTTTATCCCTACTACTTAAATATATGCAACACTGGATGTAGGGAGTATATTTCTGTCTTCATCTTTTCATCTAAGGATTTGTTCTTTCATCCTCGCAGGACCAGCGTGGTGATCATCTATTTGAATCCAGTGGCTTTGGTTTAAGTCCTGGAACTGATTCTCCACAAGGGGACAGCAGTTATAATAAAAGAAGCCCATTCAATTTTGCTGACTCTGTGCCAGGAACACCATCGTTTTCTAAGTCTGGTAACTCTCCAAGATATAGTGAGGCTGGGGACAACCTCTTTGATAATTACTCAAGGTTTGATTCCTTCAACATGAATGAAAGCAATCGGTTTTCTCCACCACGTGAAACCCTTACAAGGTTTGACTCCGTAAGTAGCAGCAGGAGTGGCTTTGGTGGCCATAGTCGAGGATTTACTTCGTTTGATGATGCAGATCCCTTTGGATCCTCTGGACCTTTTAAGGTCTCCTCTGAAACACCCAAGAAAGCTTCAGATAATTGGAGTTCATTCTAGTTCATTGGGTTTTGGTCTAGGATCAACTCCTATATTCTTCATTTTGTGGAACAAAGTGATACATGTAGCAACCATTTTTTCGCGTGCTTGTATAGTTTTGATCTTGTGTAAATTTGTCGGTATTTGTTCTTTTGTAATGTTTTGTAGACCTGCAATATGTTTCTCCTAGCATATAGAAACCAGAAGAACGTTGTGCAACATTAATTCATTTGTGTATTGTGTCAGTTGTACGTCTGGTTAGGAGTGAAACGAGATGGTTAAAAGAAACTATGGAGTAGTGAACAATCCACACATAAAAATTACGTTGCCAAGGCATAGTATTTGATAGTACTAGTATTATTTTTTAGTTCATAATTTTTTTACGTGTTTCCAGGAATTTTGCTTGTTCATACGAGGCCACTTGTGAATTCTTAACATTACAATGTGAACTTGTATGTTGTCTCTACATACAACACCATTAAAAATTTGACACATCAACAAAAAATGGGAGAAAATTAGGAGTTAAATATAAATTGAATTTAATGGAACTTGTGCCTACTATTTTAGCCAATAAAAACATGACAATTTAGAGTTGTATGTAAGGACCACATACAACAATTGTATGTGTAGCCTTTACAGGGCTAGACTGCTGATCTTCTAGAGTAGTCTGACTTTGGGAAACAGACTGTAATCGCCGCTCACCCGAGCTCGATTCCATAAACCTACAGCTTTCAGAACCTTTCGTACAACCATCAACAAAGAAGAGGAAAGAATAGGTAAGGTTAGAAATTACTAGCTTGTCATTAAGCGTTCTTGAGCCTAGCGAGGGCTCAGTCACTTCAAGGAGAGAAGGGTGGCTTGACTTTTTGGAATTAGAGAATAACTTCTTCGCGCTGGCAGCGTACGCCGTACGTACAAGGCTGTTCGGACCCCTTGCCTCTTGTATGAGGCGCGTTGTCATCGTCTCTTTCTTCTTTTTCCGTTGCAGGTATCTAAACATCTATTAGTTAAGGGGGTTGGGGCGCAAAGCGCAAACCGTTTTTTAATCAAATTATGATATGATTTGGTCGTTCGGAAGAGATTCTCTGAAAGCGTCCCTCACCCAGGACATCGAGCGAAGAGCTCCAATGCGCACATTCGGAGCTAGGCGGATGCCTCCACGGTTGTCCACCCTATGAGGGAGGAGATGCTTGTTAGCACTCAGGCTAGTAGAGCTAAGCGAGTGGACGAAGCTGAGAGTTCGCTCAGACCGAGGCTATCACCTTCTTTGGCCAGATTTTCCAACCTTTTCACAATTACAGTTCCCTTATAGATTTATTGTTTTCTGAGATATAATTCCTTTATTTCATTATAGTTGACACGTTTACTTTAAACCATTATAGAAAATCATATTTTAGGTTAGAGTTGAATAAACAAGTCAACCCCATTTATTCACGGAAATTGATTACAAGGTGAAACAGTGAGAGCACAAAAGACTCTTGTAATTTTGCAAATCTTCAACTCTGTGCGAACGCCAAACTTTCAAAGATGCTACTTGTAGACACCCATTTGTGTCTCCCCAAAACCAAACCCGGTGATGAGTACCTTTCACGTCGAATCATAATCGAATGAAGCAAAAGTGTGGAAAGTCTAGTGTTGCGGAAAGTTTTAATTCTTTTCTCTTCTCTCTGTTTTTGAAAACTTATTTTAAGAAAACAGCAAATCCAGTTTGGTTGGACCATGATATGGGTTCAATAGTAGTGTAGTTGGATGGGGCTTGCAAAGATCTTTCCAACGATATATTATAAGCCCAATTCCGATGAATATTGAGGAAGTTATGACCAATTTATTAAACTGGGCCCGGTTTGAGCTTTATATACGGCCCAATGATCTAGGGGAGGGCCTAATATGATTTATCATTCCTAATTCAATTAGCATTGATAAATTGACTTTTGTTGACTTTTCAGAGTTTTAATCAAAATCAAATAGCATTTTTGAGGAAATTATATGATTTTATCCTTCAGTACGGCAAACTTATCGGATTTTCGAAAACGCGTTAAAATCAGGCTTGGCGCCTAACCCCAGGCCTTGGCGCCTGGAACCAGACCTGGCGCTAGCCATTGGCGCCTGGCGCTAGTGTTGGTGCCTGGCACCAGCTAGCCAGGGTTGGCGCCAGCTCTGTTTTCTGTGCGTCAGACTCTGTTTTGTTTAATTTATCTTTTTGGCTGATGTCTCTATAAATATCGTATTAAAAACTCCGTTTTCATTCACCAATTCTCACCTACAATCAGTTTTCATTCATCATCAATTCTCTCTTAATTCTTTATTTCTTTTTCTCAAATACAAAATTCCGCATTCGCAAGACTTAGAAACACCTAGCCATATTCGAAGTTGCCTTCGCCCTAGACGTGAAAGGTTTAATTTCTGAGGGTTTGGTCCCAAATCTCTCTTTCAATTATTTGATTTAATTGTTTTGTTTATTATTTTCCTTGAAGTTACTAACGTGTGTATTTTGTTATTAGAAAGAGGTACGAAGCATCAAAGTAAGTACTTTAATTGTTTTTACTGATATTATGATGTAGAAATCATGTTTATATTGTTATTATGATATTCTTAGTATCATGTCTAGGGTAATATCAAATATATTAAATATGATTGTTACGATGCCTTTTATTCTCTTCCTAATATTTATGATTGTTAGTATCATGTTAGGGCTAAAGATTTGATTTTTATTGCTTAGTGACATGCTAGGGTTTGTTATTAATCTTGTTAGTATCATGCCTAGGATCTTGCTATTATTATTATGCTTTAATATTAACATGAACATGATTATGATTATAATTGTTATAATTTATGATGATTATTATTATTATTTTGATGATGATTATTTATTATAATTATTATTCATGATTATTGATTATTTATTATGTTGCTTGATACATTATTTTATTATTTATTGCTTGATCACACCTTTTATGCATGTTAAAGGGAATTGGTACTTGTAATCACGCTTAATAAGATATTTAATAATCTTGTTAGGGTTAATATGATTATAAATCAAGTGATCGCCAATAATATATTTATTTGTGCATTAAATTCAACCAACATAGATAAACATGTTTAGGGTTAATCCTATTGATTGCATGTTAATTAAAAAACGCACATGAATACGATCAGAATAAAGTAAAGGCCTATTATTAGGGCAGGTTCAATCTCTTTTTGGTTGGATTTGTACCTTCATCCCCAAACTTGTTGGTGACTATTTTGCTCTATCTCCTTCCCTTTTGGACGCCACCGTACTTTAGTGTATGATCACAGTGGGGTTCAAGCTAGTGGGATTAAAGCTTGAAATTATTCCCTACACTACTGCATCATATGAAAGTCACATACTTGATGTAGTTGACAAATACTTAAATTTGCCAAATATCTTTTAATTACACTTCTTAATTCTCCAACAGTGGTAAGTTCAAAATATTCACTAGTAGAAAAATACAAAAAGGCAACCCCTAAATGGCACCGGTTCAGACCAAACCGGTGCCAAAAACCAAGAGTAATGGCACCGGTTCAGCTCAAACCGGTGCCAAAAATACAAAGGGCACCGGTTTGAACCGGTGCCACTAAACCGTCCAATATTATTAAAAAAAACCAGGTCAATTTTAATACCCTAAGCTTTCCTCACTCCGCCTCCCATTCCCCATTTCCTCTCCTCTCCCTTCTCTATCCTCTCTCCATCTCTCTTAGTTCTTCTTTCAAAAACCATTTTCGATCTCCTCTCTCTCTTAATTCTTCTTTCATCTCCCTTCGATCTCCACTCCCCTTAGATCCGCAGCAACCAAAGCCGCCACCACAACAACAGCCGCCACAACAACATCCGCCACCACCACCACAAACTTCGAGCACCGCCTCCATTCCCACCGGCATCAACATCAACAACAATTTATGGGTTTTTGTTTTCGAGTTCTGGTTTTTTTTTTAATTTTAATTGTTTTTTTTCGATTTTGGTTTTTTTTTTCGGATTTGGTTTTTTTTTTTCGATTTTGGTTTTTTTTTCCAATTTCTGGGATTTTTTTTTGTTTTTTGATTTTAATTGTTTTTTTTTCGATTCAAATTTTTCAATTTTAGTTTTTTTTTCCGGATTTGTTTTTTTTTTTTTCGATTTTGGTTTTTATTTCCGTTTTTGGTTTTTTTTTTTCGATTTCTGGGATTTTTTTTTTATTTTAATAGTTTTTTATTCGATTCAAATTTTTCGATTTTAGTTTTTGTTTTCGGATTTGGTTTTTGTTTTTCGATTTTGGTTTTTATTTCGATTTTAGTTTTTTTTTTCGATTTCTGGGAATTTTTTTTTCGATTTTGGTTTTCTGGGTTTCAATTTTGATTTTGTTTTTTTTTTTTCAATTTTTGGGATTTTGTTTTTGAATTTGGTTTTTTGGGTTTCAATTTTGATTTTGATTTGGATTTCGATTTTGGTTTTTGTTTTCGATTTCTGGGATTTGGTTTTTGATTTTGGTTTTTTGGGTTTTCTTTGTTTTTTTTTTTCGATTTCAATTTTTGTTTTTTTTTTTCGATTTCGATTTTTTTTTAATTTCGATTTTAATTTCTGTTTTTTTTCGTTTGTTTGAATTAATGCTTTTTTTCTGGGTTTGAATTGTTTGGATTGAATTTCTGGGTTTTTTTTTTTTTTTCTTAAGCTTATTTTTACCATTTTTTTTTCTGTTTTACTTGGTGCAGGTACAGATGCAAGAATATTGATATGTTCATATCGTAATTTTCTTTTTGATTTACAAGTATATTGTAATTTTTTTATGATTTATAATGTAATTTTTTTTATTTATATGTTAGTTGTAATTAATCTATATTGTAATTTTGTATTTGATTATATATTGTAAATTTTGGATTATATTGAAACCAATTCGATTTATATTGTGATAGTTATTTTTTTTAGTTAATTTAATTGTTAAGTGAAAAAAAAAACAAAAAAAAGAAAATTGGACATTTTTGGCACCGGTTAACCGGTGCCAAAAGGAGGGATAAATTTTTTTTTGAGTATTTTTGGCACCGGTTAACCGGTGCCAAAACGTGTTTATGGCACCGGTTTTGAACCGGTGCCAAAAAGGGGGTTAATTGGCACCCCTCACATTGGCACCGGTTCAAACCGGTGCCATTTTCATTTTTTCACGTAGTGATTGTTGCACCACTCTCTTCCTTTCAAACAAACAAATTTAACGTTTTAATGCTCCAAAATTTATAATTATATATGCAAGTAAATTTTCCGTAATCTCCGTTCTTTAATCGTATTATATCTATGTTTAATTTTGTATGTTGAATTGAGATTGAAGTTAATGTTAAATTAATGAGATCCATTTCGATTAGAT